TGAAGACTTGTCATTCATCCTCATAGAACAGCTTTCTTTCTTTAAATTTTACCAGAGGGCATGTGTGTTCACCAGAAGTGGAAAGAGGAAGAGGGTTGAGAAAGCAATCCCACTTGCCCCTCCCTCACCATGGGGCATGGTCACGTCACAATCCCATCTCTGTTTCTCCACCCTGCCGAGACTTTGGGCATTGACGCACACGTATCTGGCATTTGGCTGCTGGGGCCAGGATTCGAACAGCTTGGTTGGTCCTCTTGGATGGTTTGTGGGATCTGGCTCCCTTAACTATGAAGCCATGGGCCTCACTCACAGGATGTGTTTCTAGAAGGAAGCGAGCCACCCTTCGTGAAAGCTTTTACAGGTCCTTGTGACACTGTTCCAACCCACTGCCTACCTTCCACAAGTCCTCAGACAAGGAAGATTATTATCTGATTCAACCTAGGGCTAAAATTAGTTTCTTGTTGGGTAGCAACAGCCAGACTTTCCTTCCATTTCATTTCTGGTGACAGGTTTAGATTCTCTCTCTCTTTCATTTTTTTTCTGAGAGATTTTTGCTTTAGGGCTTGGGTGCTTGCCAGAGACAGAGACAGAAAGCAAGAAATCATCCTGCAGGGTTGATGGCCATGCCACAGTCCCCTCTCCTCCATTTTCCTCTTGGCATTTTGAACACACACTCACTTGTGCCCAGTGTATTTCAAGTCACCAGGTCCGGGACTCAAACTGGGGCCAATCACGTGGGAGTCCAGTACCTTGCCACCTGCTGGTTCCAGATTTAGATCCTTTGGATTCTTTTACTGTCTTTATCAAAACACTCTAAAGTCACTTTAGGAAAAATCTGACCGGACCGTGAGCAGGGGAAACTGTAGTCCAAAGAGAAGCTAAGAATCCACCTTCCCCTCAGCCAGGATCCAGGAATTAAAGGAAAACCACAGTCAAACCACTTCAGCTCCCCACAAACTATTTCTTATAAACATTCACATCAGGAGACCCAGCCCCATTCCCTCCCCAGCAGAGCCTGGTGGCACTGAGATGAAGTAGGAATAAAACTTAACCTCCTCAAAGACAGGAGACAAAAGGGCCCAAGGTGACCAGAAGGCAGTAAAAAGCAGCCAACACTACGATGAAAGCTCCTGACAGATTCAGAACTCCTTCTAAGAGTAAATAAATTCACAGGTCACAGAATTCTCCTCAGACTCCCCCGTTAGGAGCCATGCTAGAATAGGGCCTATCTGGGTCTCCGAGGTCCAGGAGACCTAGGCAGCATCTCTAGAAGGAACAGCAGCAACCAGAGCAAGCCCACGCCACTTAACATGTGAACTGTTGGACAACTGAGCGGCCCTCGATGGCTAACAGTGGAGCTGACCAGGGAATAGGAATGCCCTGTTGACATGATGGGTACAGCAGACCTGGCATACCAGTGAGACGGTGCCCAGAGGCCACCTGCATCCGTGAAGGACAGCAGATCCACAACCACGGATCTGCTGTCCGACGCTGGGATGTGCCCTCTTAACTGCCAACAGGAACATAAAAAAGGTTACACGTGAAGCTATTCATTTTTTTAAGGAGATGAACTGATTTGAAAGGCAGGCTCAAGTCAGCTTACAGAATACCTCATTTCTAGGCAAGAAAGCAGTTGGATGAACTCTGGTTTGAGACCGATTTTGATGATAGGAGAAGGTAGGGGAAAGACGTTGTCTGGCACTCCTGGAGGTGCTCTGCTGTGATGAGCAATACTCTCCATGCGGAATTAGTAGATGTTCTTGCAGAGAACAGATTCAAGAAAAATGACCCTCTCCAGGCCTCTACTGGCTGTTCTATTGATGGCGGGTGCTGAACACGGTAGTGTCCACATAGAGTGTCAAGAAGTCACACCTAAGAAGTGTCCAGAGGAGGTAAAGGACGCTGTAGTACGTTGGGGGTTGGAACTGTTCTCTCTACTGAGGATGAGTATTCTTAATCCAAAATGCTTGAAACCAGAAGTGTTTTGGATTTCAGGTATTTTTGGATTTGGGAATATTTGCATATACATAATGAGATATCCTAAGGATAAGACCCAAGACTAAACACAAACATTTCTGTCTTACACACACCTCCACACATAGCCTGAAGGTAATTGTATGTAATATTGTCAGTAATTTTGTATGATACAAAGTTTGTGTACATGGAACCATCAGAGACAGCTATGAAATTTTCTACTTGTGGCATCATATTGGAGCTCAAAAAGAATTAGATTCTGGATGTCTGCATTAGGGATGGTGTCCAAATTGTATATCTTTATAACAAGAAACAAGCAGAAAGGTTTTGTCCAGACTCAAGCCTCAATTTATACATAATACCAAAGTTTTAAACAATAAATCTCAAGAGTGTCAGAAGATAAACTTTAACAAGGACATTTAAAAAAAAGAAAAAAACCCCACATTGTTAGCAACAAAGTCAGCACTGCCCAAGAACTTTCTGGGCATTCCCAGGTCGTGACTAGAATCTATCATGTCAATAAGTAATCATTTAATTTCTTAGCAGAAAATACTACTACCTCAGGTACTGATAAGAGTTGGGGAAACAAGATAATAGACTAAAAAGTATTTTCCAAATAACAAAACTTACCTCCTCAAGTGTTGAGACATTGTAACTATCTTTTCACAGGAAAGTGTCTCAAATACATTCCATACTACTCAGGGATATCCAACAGATTTTATGCAGTAAGATGAAAGTGTTTCTAAGAGCAATATAAAATATTACAAACACTACGCTAACTGAAGTATGTGAATTACTGGCCTTCCTGAAATTGTATATGTAACATTTTTTTTTTTTTTTTTACTAACAAAAGATCCCTGCCTAAATTTTCAAAGAGTTCCGAAAAAGGGGAGAGGGCTAGATGAGAACACCGTACTCTGTAAGGCTGGCCCACAGGGTAAGGTTCAGGGTTTGCGTCCCCAGAGGAGACTCTCCGAGTACACCTGGCCTGCGTGTACCCATAATCTGGGACAGGCTGCGGCTGAGGCTGGGGCGGATCACGGTGTGAGGATCCTGTTGGACGTGCTTTCTCTCTGTCTCTTTTGGTCTCTCTTGCTCATCGGGAGCCAACAGATGGGTTAAAGGTGCTGGACTTTCACATGGCCGACCACAGTTCACGTCCTGGACCTGGTGGCTTGCCTTCTCACTTTCTCTCTCTCTCTCTCTCTCTCTCTCTCTCACTTCGTCCCTCTCCAGTCAAATTAAAATAAGTAAGTAAAGTTAAATAATTAAAAAAAAAATTTTAAGGGGATGAGGGGGAGGAGCCATGAAACAGACGACCTAGTATGAGAACTAGTGCCTGTCCCAGACGGACTGCCCTGGCTCTGTGAGGTTCTGGGCTGTGTCTCCTGCACTCCGTTCATGGCATTTCCCCACTTCAGTCCTCACGTCTTCCCTCACTATTCTTCTTCCCATTCTATGATCTCTCTCTCTCTCTCTGCCTGCCAGTTGCTGTGCTTCCTCTTCACAGTCACGTTTCTGTCTCTGCTCCTTCACTTCAGATGTGAGGACAAGCATCAGTGGTTTCTTAAAAATGATACAAACTTCTGATTGGCAGGCTGGCCATATGTTCTTGAAAATTTTGAGACTGCCTGCCAGTTTCATTTCTGCTCAATATTTGGGCTCTTTCCAGTGATCGTTGGGTTTGTGGATATTCTAGAAAGTTGAGAATACATGTCTGATTGCTGGGGCCATCTCTGGTGCAGGGTTCCTGTACGTTTTAGTAAGCTGAACATGGGTGTTCAACATCAGCGGGCACACACAGGCACGTCCCTAATCGACCCATAATCTGCAGACCACTTTTGGAGAGCTGGGGCACTCTGTCTCCTCTCCAGCTCATATCAGTATCTGAAATATTTGCAGGCACGGTCTGAGCTGGGATTTACAAGAAATATTTAGAGCTTGCTCAGCATGGCATTTTCAATCACGTCCTATAAATGGGAGGCCGGTAAATGAGCCGTAAAGGAAGAATAAAGAAAATGTTACTGCTTCTCCTTTACTGGCAGATTATGGCAATGTGCAAAGTGAAAAGGGAGATGAGAAAGCAGGCGAGTCAGTGCCTGCTGGAAAGCGAGACGTGCTAGGTGGGACAGAACCAGGTAGGAACTATGGTCACTGCTGAGCACTGTGACTGCGCCCTGCTTGGTAGTTCTGTTTTTAAAATTTACTTATTTATTTCTTCCATGAGAGAGAGAAAACACACACAGGAACCTCCAACAGAATTTCAGGCCATGATCTGCCCCAAGTCTCAGCTGGCCTGGAACGTGGGCATGTGTGTGCCCGGCATGATTAAAGGGGTTCTAGGATGTGAACCCAGGACCTTTCCCATGTAGGTCTAGTTGCATTACCACTATGCTAGCACATGACCCCTTCTTTGGCTTATCTTGAGGCAAGAACCAAGTGTCAAAGTTGCTTGATATCACAACAAAAGATAATACACAGGCTCTCAAATTTCCTGCCTATAATGAACACCATATTATTGTTTGGGGCAAGGGAGAGGAGAAGAATTGGCCAGCTTGTTAAATAACTAAAAATGACTGAATGTGGAGGAGAGGGACATTGCCAAGAAGAGCTAGAAGCAGCAGACCTCAGTTAGTATGACAAATGAAGCAATTCTAGATGGATACACATGAAGCATGCACAGAGATGTCAGCTCTCCAGAAGCTACAACAGAGGTGAAAACATTCGGACAATAGAAGGATCAGCCACACACAGAGGGATTTCAAAAAGCTCATGGAAAATGCGCGCTATGAAAATACTATGCATGGGTTTCCATTTTTTTTTTCTGCGCTAAAATAGACTCTCAATCTAATTCCATTTCTCCATAAGCTTTCTGAAGTCCCTTCACATGCTCAAAAGGCAAACAAAAAGATGAGCAAAGCAGCAGTAACTGAGAAGAGTCTGAACACTCCCATAACCCTCTCAGCTCTCCTGTCTCCACGCCACATGGACAGGGTCCCCACAAATGTGCCTGTTCAACTTCTTACCTCATTGCAGTCACTGGCTGAGATGTGTGAAGGCCGTGCTTCTTCGTCTAGTGGCTCAATCACTGTCACCTCTGCAAACTCCTCCACAGATTCTTGGAATTCAGGCAAGGACCTGCGTCCATAACGCTTCCCACCTCTCACATATTTGGGCTGAGCTTCTAGTGAGCAGTCTAGGGAAGGAGACAAGAGTGGAGACCACATTCCGTGAGCATTGCAGCCCTTGGCTGACACTCACAGCCATCAGACGCAGTCTCTTATACCGGCCCCGAAATAAACCACTATGACTGCCAGTTGCAGGGGTGTGGGCGTAGAAGAGTCACCAGGTCAGACACAGAGTGGAGCTTCTAATTCTGAATGGTTCACAGCACCCTGAGTATCTATCCGCCTATCATGGGAGAGATGCAATAACCAGAATAAGGAAACTGACTTGAAAGTACTGAACTATGATCTGGAAAAGGGAGGGGTCATATTTGTTCTTATATGTATTAAACTGGTATTTTGCAAGGAGGCAGATGTAAAGAGAAACACAGATAATATTAACAAAGAGAAATACTGGAGGATGTCTTGGGACGTGGCGATAAACGGACACCCTATCCACAGCAATTAGTCTGAAGCATCCTCCCTTGCCTCAGTGACTCCTTTGTTAACCATTCCACTTTCTGATCTCTCAGACAAGCAGGATGACAGAACAAAGGAACTGACACAGAGGGTTCTAATCAATTAATGACAGCTAGTCACTTATATGAAACCTGGCATCAAGACCTCATTATGAACTTAAGAGCTGTGAAATAAAATAGCAAATGCAAAAACACATTAAGGAAAATGGTGCATTGCATCTTTTTTTCTCATCAGGAGTTTCATTGTGGTCCAAATTGAAAATGAATGTGCATAGAGGGAGAGTCATCTCTTGACCTTAAAGGACTTCAGCATTTTGACATAACATGTCTCGGGCTCAACACTCATCACCGTCATCACCACCACCGCCATCACCGCCATCACCGCCACCATAGACTAGCGGTCTCTACAACGGATAGCTTTAAGCAATAAAATAAATACTTCACTCTATTCAAATGTCATTGTTTATATAGATTTTCTAGCACCTTGCACAGCATGAGAGGAATAAAGTACCCCACTAAAATATGAAAGATTGGTAGTGCTTTGGTTTCTGTTGTCTTAGAGTCCACAGAGACGTACTGCCTCTTTGGAGAACATACCATGTGTTCTGTCTGAACATGACAGTCTTAGATATGTCTGAACTCAGACATGTAGATGTTCAGATGAGGAATGTACACCTCTCATCAAAATGAATGTGGCTGACTAGATAAGAACCCACAGAATGAAAGCCTCCCTTGCCCACTCCTGAAACCACATGAGGGGTTAGCCATTCCTTCATAGCTTTCCTGTTTCGCTAAGTGCCTCCTCCATGTCCTTCCTCAGGTACAAGCTCAGGTTTCACTACATTCACAAATGGCATCCTGGAAATGCTCCCTGCAGCTCAGAGTGAAGTATTTATGCAAGCTATATCATTTCTAGCGATATTTATATCAAGCCTTTAAAAAGTCCCAGCCAAGTCACTTTATCAGGTAGAGCGATTCTCTTACAGAAAGCATCTGAGCATACAAAATTTATGTCGAAATCACATGCATATTTGAAGGTACCTTTTATCAGGAGAGAGTGTGTCAGCTTGTGAGTATTCAGGAGCGGCCCAGACACCCGAGCTACTTGTTGGCAGCTGACACCCACAGATGCTAGTCAGATAAGAGGCAATGCAGAACCATCCTTAATTTATTACACATTCTTAAATGTTAGTTGTAGACAACAATAAACACCGTTAGTGACCATGAGGGCTTAGGAAAAAATCTAAGAACTTACAACCTCGGGAAATGGAGTATGGGACTTTCCCAGCAAGAGCGAGGTCATATCCTGGGGATGAAACGGCAAAGGAGCTCTTATTGTGTGGTTTTTGTTTTTGTTTTTGTTTTCTATAGGGCACATGCACTCACCAGAAAGACAGAGTGACAGAGAGATAGAAAGTGAGAAATCACCCCCCAAGGGGGGATGGCCACGCCGCAATCCCTTCTCCTCCGTTCTCCTCTCGGGATCTTGGGCACATACGCACACGCGCCTGGCATGAGTTTAAGCCACCAGGTCAGGGACTCAAACTGTGGTCGACTACATGGGAGTCCAGTGACATAGCCATTACACCATCTGCTGGTCCCTCAATGCACTTGTTAATATCTGGCCTGACTTGTTTGTTGTCTGTTTCCTCCTCCTAGAATGTAAGCTCCCTGAGAGGTGGGACTTCACCTGGTTCACTGCCCTATTCCATGGCTAAGAATGGAATTTTTTTTTTTTGAGAGGTTTTCGCTATAGGGCGCATGCGCTCGCCAGACAGACAGAGAGAGACAGAGAGACAGAAAGCAAGAAATCACCCCCCAGGGGGGATGGTCACACCGCAATCCCTTCTCCTCCATTCTCCTCTCGGGATCTTGGGCACGCACGCACACGTGCCCAGCATGAGTTCTAAGCCACCGGGTCCAGGACACGAACTGCGGTCGACTACGTGGGAGTCCAGCGACATAGCCATTGCGCTAACTGCTGGTTCCCATGTTGTGTTTTTTAAGAGGAAAAGAGCAGTGAGGGGAAAGAACCATCTTTAGAAAGTCCACTACGATTTAATCCCAAATCCACCTACTGCTAACTACCCTGAAGAGGATAGGAACCATGGTGGATTCAAAGCAGCTTCTTCTAAGCAATGAAAGGTAATAGATTGTGACTCATCAGAGACCTTGTAAAGTCTATTTTATTTATGTTTGCATTGCCAGGAGTTTAAAATTTTTAACTTATTATATACATTAATATTCATATATCTATATCTATAATCTATTTAATTTTCCAGAGGGTGTGTGTGCTTGCCAGAGAGAGAGAGAGAGGACAGGGAGAGGGAGAAAGCATCCCCCAGTGGGGCACACTGCAAGCCCTTTGCCTCCATTTCTCCATCTTGTTGGACTATAAGGCACACATGCCCCTGTGCCCAGGGTGCCCCCAGTTCTGGGGCCAGAACTCTAACCACATGGTTAGACAAGTGGGAACTAGCTGCCTAATCACCAGGCCATGGAGTCAGCTCACATTGTATTATTTTATTATAATCACCAATTCTGAGCAAACTTGAAGTTGCTAACTTTCACAGAGTGTACAGATGGGACAAAGTCAATGTCTAGAGAAATCGAATTAAACTGTATAATCTTTTTAGAATAAAGATATGAGCACACAAAAAGAAATGGGCTATTAATGTTTTCTCATCCCTGAATTTCACAAATTATCCATGGGAACAATAAAGAATCACATCACTTAAAAGCAGTGGTTCAAATCACACACTCACACATCCCCCACCAATTTTCAGCACTGGCCTTATTGAAGTTACAAGATAATGGGAGGAAGAGAGCCAGCAAATGCAAAGATGTTCAGAAAGAACACCGCATGGCCAACAGCCACTGCTATGTCCAGCATTTGAAAACTATCATCCTCAGACCAGCAGGTGGTGTGGTGGTTAAGGTGATGGACACTCCCACATGGCTGACCACAGTTCAAATCCAAGACCTGGTGGCTTGCTTTCTCACTTCCTTTCTCTCTCTCTCTCTCTGGTCAAAATAAAATAAGTGAATGAATAAAATTAAATAAATAATTCTTTTAAAAAAGCTCTAGGATCCTCCTTTCCAGTCTAACCAGAGCTTTTGAGGTCAGCAGCAGCAGTCTACCCAAAAGAGTCCACAGATGGGGTTTCAAGATGCTCTGACACACCCACATTACAGAGTGCCTGACTCTGCCCTGACCATGCCTGACAGGAATTGTAAAATCTACAGCCCTAGGGCCAAGTTTACTTACTTCAGAGCCTCCAGATACAACATATTTTTTCAGGATTTCACTCCAGAATGATTTTATCTATGCCACATAATATGGGCTATTTGTGTTGGTCAAGAAATGGAGTGATTTTCCTCTCAGACTCCTTGAACACGTCATAAATAACTGCTCCAATCATGTGCTCCAAGAAGAGATGAGAAATGCCCATGGAACGAGGTATGAGGCCTGTGGAGCCTTCGGTGTTTTAGCTCCTTAAAGATGTATTTATAAATCTGCCTGACTGTCAAGCTTTGGAGTCATTTTCTCTTCTTTCCTATTTTCCATTTCTCCTATTTGGCATCACTACATAAAAATGGGCTTTGATGGAAAGCAAACAAGCCCAGCCTGCCTCGAGCAGTCTCCGACGTCATCCCTGGAGAGCTTGTTATAAGATACACCATCCCAAGGAAAATGGCTTTGCGGCACTCCCCCTTCTCCTGTCTTAGACGGTCTAGATCTCATTTCACAAACTGAACACTTGGTTATGAGTAGTAGACAATAGAGAGGTCTTGATTCAGTCCTTTAAAGATTGCTGTAGTAAAGTAGAAATAACTGATAGTCTCCATAGAACAGGTGAGCAAACAAAAAATCTAACCAGAGAGTTCAAACAAAGGGGGGGGAGGGACTATTCCTCTGGTCTTAGAAATTAAAGTCTCGATGTTCGGATACCACACGGTTTACTCCATGTCTCTTCTGTCTCAAGATGAGAAACTCCAGAGCTGTGATGTTCACCTTCCAAATCGGGATAAACCACACACAAGTATGACTTTTGACCTGGTCTTGCACTTATAATCAAAAGAAATGGAAATACAATGTTGGGGAGAAAGACCATGCTGAGTGGGTGAGCCAGCTTCAGGTGAGGAAGACAACTGCCCCCTGCCCACCTTGTCCCCTCCCAATCTTCGTTCCCAGCTGCAGTGTGGACAGCAAAAACACAGCTTCCCTGGCTCTAGTCTAAGCAGTACAGAGCGCCTTTTCACTCTCACCAAAAACTCACCAGCGCCGCCTAGGTGAGGCAGATTACTGCTTGGAAAGCTCTGCTCTTCTAAATGCTCTGATAAGTCAACTGCAAAACAATGAGGACCCAAGAGGAAGCTGAATAGTTACCCAGAATCCCAAACATTACCTATCCAATCACATCCTTTCTTTGCAAAAGCACACGTTTAAGGCCCAGAATTCAGCAGCATCCACATTACATGCAAGGGATACTAAAGGAGATTTTCAAAGATGCCTCCAACAAGAAGTAGATTCATTTGACCCATGTTTACTG